TTGGAAAGAATACAGGAGAAGAGATGAGGAAGATAGATGGAAGTTTGAGTGCCAGACATACAACCTATTGTATGTACTGTATGCCCAACATATTATATGTACTGACACCTCACAGGTGCTTCAAACCTCAATTTCTTTATCTATAAAACGTTGTCTGATGAGATGTGCTTGGCTCCTCCTAGTGAGGTCATTGTAACAATTTTGTAAAATGCATGAGAGATGACTTTGGACAAAGTAAAGCTACAAGCCCACCACACCCCAAGTATGGAGCATTTGCAGCTGAAGTGACTATTTCAGTAACTTGTTTGGGTCCTGACTAGTCCACTAAGAAAACATGGTATTTAATTTTTTTTTATTTTTTTTTTTATGTTTATTTATTTTTGACAGAGACAGAATGCGAATGGGTTAGGGGCAGAGAGAAAGAGGGAGACACAGAAGCAGAAGCAGACTCCAGAGCCTGATGCAGGGCTCGAACTCATGAGCTGTGAGATCATGACCTGAGCCGAAGTCGGACGCTCAACCGACTGAGCCACCCAGGCTCCCCTAATTTTTTTTTTTAACGTTTTTTTATTTTTGAGACAGAGACAGAGCATGAATGGGGGAGGGGCAGAGAGAGAGGGAGACACAGAATCGGAAGCAGGCTCCAGGCTCTGAGCCATCAGCCCAGAGCCTGACGCGGGGCTCGAACTCACGGACAGCGAGATCGTGACCTGAGCCGAAGTCCAACGCTCAACCGATTGAGCCACCCAGGCGCCCCGAAAACATGGTATTTAATTGATAATGGCTGTTGATTCCATTTGATTGCATTACTACAGAGGTAGGGTAGAGTCTTTCTGAGCCATTCTATGGAAGGAAAAAGAAGAAAAGGAGGAGGATAAAGGACCTATGTGATAATGACAGTGCCTCATCAGTGCTCAACAAATATTAACCAGCATAACAATAATTACCATCATTAGTGGAGAAACAGCATGCTGCCGTAATCATTATTCTTTGTCCTGAGAGGTTGGATACTCTAATTATACTAATCAAACTCTAGTCAGACATCAACAATTCTAAACATACATCTTTCACCTTTCCAATTTATAGTCTTGTTTCTTGGGGACAATTGAATCTAAGCAAATAACTTCCTTGGGTATTCAAAGAGATATTCTAATTTAATTATCTTCAAAAGCTTATCTGTTCGTAGGCTTTCTGCCTGAACTATAAAGGAAAGAGAACATTTTCTTAACCAATTTTTACTACCATCCAAAATAAAGTCTGCTCACAAATAATTGCAGTAGTGGTGGTCTTAGTAATAGTAGTAATAATGGTCATAAAAATAGCTTACATTTATGAAGCACGTACTAGTTGCCATGTGCTCTAAGCATTTTACTTACATTAATTAATGTAATCCTCACAACCACCTCAGAAGATAGGTTCTATTATTATCCACATTTTCCGTATTAGGAAACTAATAAGTGGCAAACCCAGGGTTGTCTCACCCAGGCTGCGTGGTTCTGGAGTCTGTGCTCTCAGCTGCCTTGTGCCGCCTCTCAGAGCGCTTGTCCTCCCCCTTTTGTAGCATCTCCAACAGCTGGAAGGGAATTTGATGTTTTTGGAAGGAGAGCATTTCATATTTGATGATTGTTGTCCAACACAGGTCAGATCTTCAGTGGAAATTTGGGGCTAGTATAATACAAAAAGACCATCTTCCTTCCTGGCTCTATGGAATCACTTCCATATGTCTTGGTTTAACTTCAACCGTATCCAGATTGCTTGTAGCTGCTGACTGATGTGGTCACCCTGGCGTCTAGTGTCACAAATACGAGCTCCCTCACTTACTGGTTTTGTGATCTTGGGCAGATTCTTTAATGTTTGTTTGTTTGTTGTTGTTGATGTTGTTGTTTTTGTATCTGCTCCTTCATTGTAAAATGGGAAAACTCATTTCACGTGATTGTTAGGAGAATTAAATGATATGTGCAATATTTAGCTCAGGGCTTGGCACTTTCTAGGCTCAATACAATTATGGGAAGTAATGATAGGCAAAGTGAGGGTTGTACAAAATATGCTACAATTCCTCTCTTCAAAGTTAGTTAAGAAGGCAATAATAATAAAACTCACAAATATCACCATGTATTGTGATATGGTTGCCTCCATAGAGGTAAAGATACCAAATTTGGTAAAAATTCCAAGATGGGTGAAATTTATGTGGTATGGAGAGGAGGTATGGAAGGCTTTCCTGGCAAAAGTATGTGCATGAAATGGTGTTTGAAGCCAGGTGGGGGCAAAGGGAGTCCAACTACATTGGGAGATTGTATTTTAAGTCATGGACATAAAATGTCAAACTGGAGAGGGGTAGGAATGAACTCTTGCATTTGCAGGACCATGTTGGGGCCATCTCATCAGAGAAGAGGGTTTGCTTCGAGAATATTGGGAGAGAAGACTACGTAGGATGGATATGTTAATTACCTTGATGAGGGAAATCCTTTCACAATGTACACATACAACAGATCATCACGTTGTACACTCTAAATAACTTAGAGTTTTGTCACTTATGCCTCAACAGAGCTTGGGGGGGAAAAGACCAGGTAGGTAAGGATGTATCAGATGTTTGAAATTGCATAAAACCATGCCTTTATTTTGCCTGTAGTGCCTCTCATGGGCAATCCTGACTGAGAAAACTATGACCATTTTTCAAAGACCAGTTCAAATACTACCTTTTGCAAGAAGACTTTTCTCCCTATGAGCTGAAATTTCTTTACCTCAGTGGACTCTTATTTCAGTCTATTCCTCCTATCTAGCATGACCACACGTGCCAGTTTGCCTAGGTCATCCTGAGCCAATGCTGTTATGCTAGTTTAATTATTAATAGAGCCCCCCGTTCACTCTAAATATGTTGTTTTCTAGGTAAAATACAAAGTCATCTCCTGGTAACTCTTATCACTTCTCCCTTCTGTTCTGCCTAGTTGCATATTGACATCTGGTGGCCCCTATTAAAATGTTCGTGTGAACAGAGACATACCTACTCACCTTTGTAGTCCCAGTACAGACCCTAATAATTATTAAATTAATTTAAATAAGGGATTGAAAACTTCAGTGTCAAAGTCTATATTCTTAGACTTTGTGTGCCCGACATCCTCTGGTGTTGTAACTGCATGTACTAGGTGTTTAATAGGTCTGTAAATTTGATTGGACATCCACAGGGAGATACTATTTCTGGAGTATGCTGGAAATAACATTAGCACAGACTAGATGTGAGTTCTCATAAATTTTCTCTTCTCCCTGCATGGTAACCTGTGCACGCTTCTCACTGACCATTTGCATTGGTCTTATGGCCAAAAGAAAATTTTTGTTTTGAAAAATTGAAGGTGTTCAGTCATATGCCTATGTACGCTTTACTTTAATTACACATGAGTGACCAAAACAGCTGTAGGTTGTAGAATTTAACCTTTCTCATTACTGGGTTTCTGTTAGGAAATTTAGAGTAAAAATTAACGAAGATTGGGGCGCCTGGGTGGCGCAGTCGGTTGAGCGTCCGACTTCAGCCAGGTCACCATCTCGCGGTCCGTGAGTTCGAGCCCCGCGTCAGGCTCTGGGCTGATGGCTCAGAGCCTGGAGCCTGTTTCCGATTCTGTGTCTCCCTCTCTCTCTGCCCCTCCCCCGTTCATGCTCTGTCTCTCTCTGTCCCAAAAATAAATAAACGTTGAAAAAAAAATTAAAAAAAAATTAACGAAGATAGAGGATATTTCAATTGATTGGTACACTTTTGTAACAGCACACTACAAACTATATTGAATTTTTTAGTGTTGTTCAATTAGTGTTATTTCTTTGGGGTTGCTAGCTGGGATTTCAACTCTTGTATTATAACCTTTGTGACTTAAACCTATCTTAATTTTCTTCTTAAAATTTCTAACAAGTTGTACTAGCGGATGTTAAAGGGAATAAGGCCTAACCTTTCAATACTCTTTATTTACAGAGTAGCGATTTAGATGACTCTTTAAATTTCCTGCTGATGACAGGAAGGTATCGCTGTCTGTGAAATCTTGATTTCTAACTTGGATTCTTATAGTGTATTTTGTAAGGTGTTAGACCTATTTCCCTCATGTTTTGTGGGTTAAGGATGCTGTAGCTATTTGAAAATATATAACCATGTGATTATCCATCAGGTATCAACCCAGGGGTTGATTGCTGAACACTGTGAACTTGGACTACCTGGAAAACTAGAGTTAAGAGCCCTGCTGAAGGCCCTTGAAGAGAGGTCCTAAGAGTAAATCCCTTTTAGACTCAGCACAACCCCATGCTTGCCAGCATTTCCTGTGACCAGTGAAATTCCTTTGAAATTCCTTGTTAGTCAGCCCTTCTTTGCCAAGTTATATCAGCTGAGCCTCCCTCTTCAGTTTTACTCTCTTTGTTCTAAAGAAACTATGGATTCTCACATGTGGGATTTTTTTTTTCCTTTTTTAACCTTAGAGGCAGGTTTCCCAACCCAGGAACCAATGACATTTTGTACTGGTTCATGCTTTCTTGTGTTGGGTTTTCCTGTTCATTGTAAGATGCTTAGTAGCCTGCCTGTCCTGTATCCACTAGATTCTAGTAACACCCCTACTCAAACCATGATAACCGAAGGTATTGGCAGACATCATCAAATGTTTCCAGTGGGGATGGGATGCAAAATTACCCCCTGTTGAGACACTGCCTTGGAGCCTCTATAGAAACATTTGCAGAGCATGGAAAAGGCAATGCCCTCAGAGCAGTACTTACCAGTCATGTGACTTGCATCAGATGCTGCCTTCTCTGACCCTTAGTCTTTTTACCTGCAAAGTGGGGATAATGACATCTATCTTTGAGACCTGTTGAGATTTCCACCACATCAGGGATAGAAACTTCCAGGTATATAGTAAGATCCCCATACATGGTAGTCATGCCATTCTTATGTGGTGAGTCTCAACTTACTTTTCTAACACCTGTGATTCCAACTTAAGAAAAGGTGTCTCTTTCTTTTTTTCTCACCCTGCAAACAGAGCATGATGAATGCGGCAGCGGGCAGCACAACTGTGACGAGAATGCCATCTGCACCAACACTGTCCAGGGACACAGCTGCACCTGCAAACCGGGCTATGTGGGAAATGGGACCATCTGCAGAGGTAGGCTTGCTGCCTTTGAGGTGAGCTGTGAACAGCTTCCCTGCCTGGGCTTCTGGTACTCATGTGGTAGACCCTTGTCACCATTCTGGTAGCTGAGCATGGCTAGGGTTCTGTTCCTGGTCTGTCATCTGGTGAGGGCACTGTGCATCAGAGAAGAAAAATGATTTAAGTCTACATTTTGGATTGAATGCAAAAGGTATGCATTTGGGTCTGGGGCATGGTTCTACACCTCCATGGCTCTGTTTAGCTTTGCCTCTTGGCCTGAGTTTGTGAGGGACACTCTGATTGTTGACGTGGGTTTTTTTCCCTGTGTGCTTTGCTCAGAGGGCAAGTGGGCACTGCCAGTGGCCATACTCCAGGTTCTGCTTGCATAGGAAGCTGAAAGTTTTAGCCTCTGTCTGTGTGGTAGCAGTTCAGCAATTCAGATGTAGTGCCTTGGTTTCCATCTGCATTTGGAATAAAATTAAAGTTTCTCCTTGTGGCTTATGAGAGCTTTCAGGATCTGGTCTCTGGCTCCTCTCAGCTGGCATCTCTCTTGTCTCTCCCCTCATTCCCTTTATGCCAACATATTATTCCTCACTGTTTCTCAGACATGCCAACCAGCTTCCAGTCTCAGGATTTGCACTTGCTTTCCCCTCAGCCTGGATGTTCTCATTTCCTTCCTTCAGGTCTCGACTCAAGTGTCTCCTTATCAGAGTAACATTCTTAGGCCGCCTCTAAAATAGCATCCTTAATATTTCTTAGCCTCACACCCTACTTTATTATTTTTTTTGTTTTCATTAACACAATGTAACAGAACATTATACATTTATGTGTTTGCTTCTGTATTGTCTGCCTTCCCATTGGGATGTAAGCTCTCTGAGAGCAACCGCTTGGTTTTGTGTCCCTGCTGTGTCTCCAGCGAGTAGATGGATGCCTGGCACATTGTAGGTGCTCATTAAATATGTGTTACCTTACTAAATTAACCAGAGGAAAGTGACAACATTACATTGAAAAGGAGGCAAAATGTACAAAAGACAGGAAATGATCCTTTGGGTTCTATATTATTATAATTATCCCCACTTTAGAGGAAACAAAACTGAGACACAGGAAGGCTGAGTAGCTTGAAGACAGAAGTAATATACAGTGAATAAGTCACCATAATCATGCCCTAAATTGGGCAGAATTTTAAAAAAAATGACTTTATTCTCTGTTAGTGAGGTTGGTGCAAACAGGTTTGTTTTTATTTGTGTACATGCCTGAGTGTAAATTAGTGAAACTTTTAATGGCAATTTGAGAAAAACCTATCAACATTTAAAGTGAATGTGAAGAGTAATATAGGGATTCTCTTGATTCCATTCACTATATCTCCTGAAATGTATTCTGGGAAAGGCACATGCCCATAAGGGGGGAATGTGCACATACAGAGGTGTTTTGCTGTGTTGTATATATTCATTGAAAGCCAGATACAGCCAGAAAATCTGTCAGTAATGGAATGATTTATTTCACATGTCATTTTGTGGAAGAGAATATAAAGGTTTAAAAAACTTTAAGTGTCTGTATGCACACACATGTGTATGTGTGTTCACGTACATACTCAATGATCTCCAAGATGCATTTTCGAGAAAAATCGAATAAAGCTATAGGACATTACCTGTAGCATCATCACATATCTCATTTATTATTTATAACTACCTATATGCATACTTCTGTAAAGCATAAAGACTGGGACATGCAAACTGCTCATGTTATTGCCCGTGTGTGTGTGTGTGTGTGTGTGTGTGTGTGTGTGTGTGTGTGTGAGAGAGAGAGAGAGAGAAAGAATGTTCACTTATTATGAATTCAATGTTGTTTTTATCTTTTACAATGGGAATTTATACATATAATATTTGTGGGGTTTTTTTAAGTTCCATGAGGCAAATAAAAATACCAGTGCTCAGCTTTTAAAAGAAGGCTGAAGATACTTCAAAAGTAAAGTAAAAAGACATAAATATTAATATAATTCCATGGATTATCCAGCCCACTGCTGGTACTTTCATGCTAATGCTATAAATCTGAGGCGCACATAGGGATTTGATTTTAATGCATTTTTTCTTCAGAATTATGTTACCTCATAAAATAATATTAATTACCCTAGTTCAGTGAGTTTGTGTTTGCCCAACCCTCTCATGCCATTGTGATAAGTAGTGGCTTCACCTTTGTGGAATTTGAAAGTCTGATTGTAAAAAATTATGAGTTCAAATAATGTTTCTGGTGTCCACAGGCTCTGAAAATACATCTTCCCTTGAAAGTTACAAATCAAGGACAATAGTTTTCTTCAAGTGGTTTTCGTGGTCAGTTAGGTGGACATCAATAAGATGGGGAGAATCTCGTGTTTATAAATGTTGCCTGGGGAGGCAGTGCAATGTAGTTCAAGAACTGGATTGCAAATTTAGAGAACTAGGGGTTAGACAGGATTTCATTGCTGCCGAATTGTAACTTCTGTATTTTTACATACTAAAATTGGGTGAATATCCCCATCCGTGTTTTTCCAACAATGTTATTGCAAAGAGTTATGAAAAGAATATATATGTGTGTGTGTATATATATGTATATATATGTATGTATATATATGAAAGGAATATATATATGTGTGTGTATGTACGTATATATATGTATATATACATATGTATGTATATATACATACACACACACATATATAATATATTATATATATATATATATAT